AAAAAAAAAAAAAAATTTGAACAAACCTGGCACTGGGTGCTTTACAAGGGATTTCAACTTCAAACTCAAGAGGAAGACCCAAAAACCCATGAAACCGATCGAAAGTGACATGAGTTAGATGTTGGACGTTTGTGGGCCATCCGATTTCCATATGATGAAGATGAACGGTGGATTTCATCACCTCCTCCTCCTCCTCCTTTTGATCATCACGACAAGACATCATAGATTTCCTCAAAGCTGCTAAGATAAAATCCAACAAAGACAACTGCTGCTGCTTTGACCTCTTCCCATTTTTACAACCCCCACCACCTCCGCAACCCACCTCCCTACTCACCATAACCAACCCCGTCATCTCTCTTCTTGTTTTCTTTCGCCAAAAACACACACTGGCCCACGCACAGAATCCTTTTTCCGTCTCTGTTTCTTTAGGTTGTGTTTCGGGTTGTTTAATTGGTTGCATTGAAGATAGTTTTTTGGATTTCGAGGTTCTTGAGGGGTTCAAACGGCAACTAGTTTCAAATTTTTGTACTTTAAACTGACCAGAAAGCCCTTGCCAATAAGATAGAATTTCAGTTATGCCCACTTCTTTCTACAGAAATACAGAACATCTCTGGTTTCAGGTGGGTGTAGTTTAGTTTACCAATCATCAAGTCTACACATATCCAACTAAAGCCCAACTGCTCCTTAGGTCTATTCTTTATTTATTTAAATTATTATGTCAACTCATCAATTAATGGTTTTAATTATAAGTTTTTAATATATGCACACTTTAGCTTCTGAATAATCAAACTACTTCCTACACAATCCAATTGCAGCATTACAAATTTAAGTCTGCAATTGGGTCTTTCCTCTTTCACAAGTGTGTCCGTCTTATCTTCACAAGCTTCTACTTTAGCTCAATTTTAATTATCACGTGATCTTATTTATTTATTGAGGATACGCAGCCAATGTTTATTTAACTACAATATGAGTCAGCTTCATCATTGTCAAGTCATTTTCTTTGCTTCCAGAGGGGGGAATTTTCGATATAATTGTTGCGGAAGCCAAATGTATATAGTGTGAATAAGTCACAACTACTATACCAAAAATTATGACAACCACCAAATAATAAATAAATAAGACAATAAAGCAACAATAAAGAGAACACCAGAATTTACGAGGTTCGGTTAATTTTGCCTACTCCTCGGACACAACCAATATTTTATTCCACTCCAAAAATACAAGTGAAATAATACTAAAGAGAGAAGATACAAGTGCCTTAAACAGATGAGAAGGCAAACGAGAGGTGTGTTTAAATCCTAAACATTAAGCCTTCTTTTATAGGGGGAAAATCCCCCCAACTTTTGTTTTCCCACCGATGTGGGACAAACATTTTGTCAAATTCAACACTGATAACTTAGCTAATAATGCTCTTGATGTAGGTCCTATGGAGTGTGATTCTTTTGCACAACTGGACAATACAGGAAAAGGATTGTGAATAACGATAAACTTCAATGCTCATACTTAAGGATAAGAGTTGCAAGAGATTGAAAGGGGAGGAGAAGGTGAACACAATGGAGCGGGGAGATAACCATACATACCTGCCTTGTTCAAATCCTTAGGAAGGAGAACATGGTGGGTCTTGTTTATATTAACATTATGTTCTTTTTTGTAGGGAAAGATATTATATCCATGCCTTACCATTTGATACAATTTCATTGGGTAGTATTAGCACATGATACTCACTCCCATGAATGAGTATCAGATAGTAGGCATAAGCATGGAACTATGAGTAAATAAAAAATACTTAGGGCTATTTGTGCCCTCAATCTCAGAGGGCATATGCTTAGAATACACAATCATGTCCAAGCCACTATGTTTCTGCCATTTTTCCATAAAGAAAATAGGGACTCACATTTACTGCATCTTAGAGGAAAGCCACTGCCCAGTTCTTTGGCCACGCTCCTGACTGACTTTAGAAGCTACATTTGGAGGGCTCTCAGAAGGGCATATGCACAATATTAGTCTTGCATGTTCTCGGTGAGCTCTGGAGCCTCCTGTATGGCGTGAGGGACCAGACCCTTCACCACCTTTTTCACTTAGTCAATTCCTTGAGCATTGCACAGACTTGACTTTAAAAGCCTCAGTCTCCCAGTGAGGCTTCCAGCTCTCCCAAATAGATTCTGGAATATGTTTGCGCTTCTTCTCACAAGCTCTTGCTTCAGATAATATACCCTTGTATCGTTCTGCACATTTGCTCATAGACTTATCCTTTATGAAACCTTCAATTGCAGTGTCCTATTGAAATCGTTTCTGTTTGAGAAGATCAAATGAAAAATAACACAAGATATTGATAACAACAACTTACCCAGTATAGTAGATCATCGGCTCAAGAAAGATAAAGGAAACTCCAAATATTATCGATCTTATTTGAAAAAAAAAGAATAGCTTCAAATATCTAAAAGGAATGAGAAGGATCTTCTAGCCTAGTTAAAGAAAAAGAATTACTGATTTAGAAATCAAGTTAAAAACAAAGATCACCAACCAAATACTAAGAAAGAACTGTGATCCCTCAAGATAGCAAAAACCTTTGGGAGACATAATTATTATCAATATATGGAACCAAAAGTTTATGCTTATTTCATCTTTACTATTGTGGTCATTATAAATTTCCCCTAGTTCTTCTCGGACATTGGTGCCGCAAGACATAGCAGTCCTAGAATTGCTCTGTCAAGGTACTTGATAAATGACGATGCTTGGACCAGAACCTATACAATTCAACATATGTATATTCCGGAAGTTGAAGGAAATATGAGATCTTAAAATAATTCATGCAGTAGTTACTTCATGACATTTGTACATTTGGCAGCAAGGGAAACTAAGTAGTATAATATTAAGGTATTAAGTTTCCTATTTTTCATCCTTTTATCTTGTATTACTGATGTGTAGATATTTATAGCAGCATAAAAGCACTAAAACTAAGAAGTCTTGGACGTTATAAAAACTGTTATATATAAGGATTATGATTATTTTTCCCTAATTATACAACAAAAATAAAATATTGCAATGAGAGGAATTCAAGTATCGTGAAATTCTGATAAATGTATCACATATGTACTCAGCAGAAGGATATTCTGAAGAAAAAAGAACCAATATGACAAACTATAAGGACTTAATCATGATTACAAGGTTTCTCAAAGATGTAAGAGATGGATAACAGTCTACTTCCGATAGAATTAATAGCAGTAGATGAAATAATTAAGAGTTCATTCACGATATCATGATTTCTCCCACATTTTAGGTCGGATTACTGAAATTATCTGTCTAGAAACTAACAATGCAAAGAACTGCATTCTCCCTAGCCAACTAAAGCATACTTCTAATGCATTTATTTATTAGTTCATCATAATTATCTGATATCTCCTGTACATCTCAACATTAAAGACTACTAACTAGATTTTGTTTGGCTACCCACCCTAGTATTAATCAAATCAGAGATGTCAGAAGCCCCAAACCAGTGTTTTCTGGAATGCGCACAGAACAGATAAAACACAATATCGATACAATAGAAATTTAAAATGTATAAATTCCATTATTAAAATGATAATTAGTACTATAACTTTACCTTAAACTCTTCCCAATAGAAATCTTTTGTCTCTGGTGTAACAGACTTCCAATTATGTCCCTCATGATCCAGTTTCTCCTTCAAGATTTTTGTGACAGACCGAGCGATTTGATTGCTCGGGTCCAAACTTGAGTAAATAAGAAATGAATTATTTTATTACTCTATTTCATTTAAATATTTCATATTCTTTCAAGAAGCATTTGAGAAATAACGTGAATTACTTATGCGATGCTTAATAATGATCAAAAGGGACATTCTTCTGCCCATCTTCTTATGAACCAATTTATATTTTTTTGTGTGAAGTGTAAGTAATATCTTTATTTTATACAAGTACTGCAGTAAATGAGTTGTTACCTCCTAACTAGAGTTAATATGTAGGAATTAAGATTTTGGTATGCAACGAAGACCACATTAATGCTCTCATATTGGCAAATCATATACATTATTCCAAAACTTTTCCTAATAAGACCAAGTCTTACTTCATATAAAATGAAATAGAAAAGTTTTCATCAAATAGTAATAAAAATAAATTATATACTATGTTTCATTCATTCAGACTCTATAGTTGAAGAGATTGAAGCACTTTGACTCTATTCACTGTCATTTTCATCATATGGCGCTTCATCCTCATTATCCTCATCCTCATCTTCATCCGACCCAAATTCAACATGAAGTTCTACCTCATCATAAATCATTATCTTCGTCTCTTATGTTTATGAATTCACCATTTGGATCATTTAGGAGAACAGTTTCATTGTCAGGTACCACACCAAATGTTAAACCATCTTCTTCGGATTGGAATGGCTCAACACCATCTGTCGGAGTTGACTGTGAAGATGATGGAGGCATGTCCACAATACCCCATGCTTTTATTTTGCACACAGCCCACCAGTCACTCTTATCACGTCGTAAGCTAGGATAAGTTGTATAATACACTTGAGCCGTTTGCATTGCCAAAACAAATGGTTCATACTTCTTTAATTTCTTTTCATGGTTGATATCCACAAGTTTATATTGTGGGTGAATCTTCATTTTTTTTTCCTGCCTTTGGTGTGGGATCAAACCACTCGCACTTGAATAAAACAGTTCTCTTTATATACTCACTACCCTTGTACTCCAATTCAAGGATATCAGTTAGCACACCATAGTAGTCACTATCATCTGCACTATAACTAGTTCCTTTTATGCATGCACCGCTGTTATTAGATGCTCTAGAAGAACTGCGGCTTTTAGTGTGAAATTTAAAGCCGTTGACAATATAACCGGTCTATGGTTGCGTTGTTCGACACAGACCTTCTGCAAGGGCCTTGATGAACTGATTATCTATGTGGACTCGTGCCTTAAAAGAAAAATAATTAGAGTTTCTCATAAGTGAGGTAAGTATAAGTGGAAGGATATCGTATAAGTACTCACATATCTTTTAAACCATGATGCAAAATCTTCATCAAGTTTCCTATCCACTTCCTTCTCCGTAATTTGTGGGAAATTTTGACGAAGGGAGTCAATAAAAATCCTTTGAATCACATCTAAGAAAATTATATATTAAGTGTTTTGATGATTTTTCTAATCTATAAATGAAAACAAAAGCTTGAAGTCTTACTCAATATATGGGTGTACCTCTGGGCAATTTAATAAAACATAAATATGAGCTGCATCAAGTTCTTCTTCAGTCATATATCTTGGTTTTGCATCTCCCAAATGCCTTACCTGGATAGGTAAATATAGAAAGATTACCATCGTGTTCATCCTTTTCCCTTGTACCACCATCATCATTCCGTGGAACTTTCCTATGCCTTGTGTAAGCATGAGGTTCGAAGTAGTGTGAACAAAAAGATGAAGCTTCCTCAACTAAATACGCATTGCATATGAATCCTTCAACTTGTGCCTTATTTCGAACATTATTTTTCAATTTCCGAAGGTTTCTGGAAATAACATATAAGCTCAAATTGTGATTCATTCATGATGATGAAAATGAAGTGCTTGACTTAATATCAATGAAATTTTACCTCTCAAATGGGTACATCCATCGATATTGCACCGGACCTGCTATCCTTGCTTCGTAAGCAAGATGTACGGGGAGATGTTCCATTTAATCAAAGAAGCTGGAAGGGAATATACGCTCCAATTTATAAAGTATTTCAGGTATTTCTTGTTCAAGTCTGACCATATCCTCTTCCCAAATTGCTGTAGAAGTGAGATCCCTAAAGAAAAGGCTCATCTCAGCAAGTGGTTCCCAAACTTTTGGTGGTAATAGCTCACGAAACGCAATAGGGACCAATCTTTGCATTAATACATGACAATCGTGGCTTTTCATACCAAACAATTTATGTTTTTTCATGTCCACACTCCTTCCCATATTTGAGACATATCCATCTGAAAATTTCAAATTCTCCACCCATTCACACAACACTTTTTTTGACTTCTTGTCTAGTGTGTAACAAGCTTTCGGATATTCGTCACCAACAGCATGTAATTCAAGCCGTCGACAGAACTCTTTCAAGTCTTCTCTAGATTTGGGATTATCTTTTGTTTTACTATCTACATCTAGCACTGTGTTGAACACATTCTCGAAAAAGTTTTCTCGATGTTCATAACATCTAGATTGTGCCGAATGAGATTTGTACTCCAATACGGTAAATCCCAAAATATGCTTCTTTTCTTCCAACCAGAAAACTTGCTAATTTTGCCATTAACAATATCAGCCCCAAGCTCTGTTACCTTTTTTTAACCCCAATTCATTTATCTCCTTCAATATATCATCACCTGACTGTATCGGGGGAGGATGCGTTGTGACTACTTTATTCTTTCTAAATGAATTTCTATTAGTTATGTATGGATGATCCAGTGGAAGGAACATACGATGATTGTCAAACCAGGATTGTTTGCCACCTTTTGTCAAAGTAAAAGCATCTGTATTCTCCCTACAATATGGACATGCTAGCCTACCCGCAGTACCCCATCCAGACAACATCGAATATGCAGGAAAATCACTAATTGTCTACATCAAAACAGCTCGCATGTTAAAATTTTGCTTCTTAGAGATATCATATGTGTCCTCACCTATACTCCACAGATTTTTTAGTTCTGCAATCAAAGGTTGCAAGAAAACATCAAGTTTTTGCTTAGGGTTCTTCGGCCCATGAACTATAACTGACAAAAACAAATAGGACTCTTTCATACACATCCAAGGTGGCAAGTTGTATGGTGTCACAACTATTGGCCAAGATGAATATTGTTGACCTGCTTGTCCAAATGGTTGAAAACCATGTGTGCATAGCACCAATCTGACATTATGACTTTCAGCTTCAAAAGATGGATGCATCTTATCAAAGTGTTTCCATGCGGGTGCATCTGAACAATGACATATCACACCTTCCTCAACTTCATGCTCGGTATGCCATCGCATATGTGCATCAGTCATGTTGGAAGCATATACGCGTTGCAACCGTGGAGTGAGGGAAAAGTAGTACATCTGTTTGAATGGTACAAGATTTCTCTTTGAATTAGATATTTGCCTAGTAGGCTTGTACCTGGGATGACGACAAAACTTGTAATGACTAAGTTCACTGTCTTCTCCCCAATAAATCATACAGGCATTGATACAACTGTGAATTTTTTCTACTGGCATGTTCATTCCCTGCATTAACTTCTTAGCTTCATAGAAATTTTTTGGCATTAGTTTATCAGGAGGAATCATCTCATTCACATATTGACAAATGTCATCAGAACATCTATCAGATAGATGGTGTTCAAACTTGATATGCAATAAACGTGTAACAGCTGACAATTGAGAATGTGTTTCACAGCCAGGCCACACCTCTTGATTTGTAGAATCAATCATATCATAAAATTTCTGCGCATCAGGATTTGGTAATTCATCCATATCATTCGGATTGAATGAAGGGCCAGCGGCGTCAAGGACCATTCTATGGTATGAAGTAGGTGATCTAGGCTAATCAATTGCACCCACATTTACTGATGTAGTAATCATAGTCTGATCCCAATTTTGCATCTCTTCATGTTGAACTATATTTCTAGTAACCTTATTTTCTCCATGCAAGTACCATATATAATATCCAGGTACAAAGCCGTCGCACAATAAATGTTCGTGGACCGTAAGAACATCTTCAAAATTTCTATTCTGACACTTTTTTCGGTTACATGGGCACCTTAGTCTCTCACCATCCCTCCCTTCCCGATGATTCTTTACAAACTCAATAAATTGCTCAACACCAACGAATTCTGGATTACACAAACGTCTCGTTAACCTTTTGTACATCCACTCACGATTTGAAGTCATTTTTTCTGACAAACTTTCTTTCCCTATAATGTAAAAAGATTACAGTAGCATCTATTGATTTCTAAAAATCTTTAGATAGTAAAAAATGAATACTAATAATCAAATTAGGCCTCAAATCCCAATCATAATGAGCACAAGCTTTCAACATATCTACAATATACTGAAAAATTAGATTGATAAAAAATACTTACCACTTAGCCGAATGGATTGTGGAATTGAGAAGCATCCAAACAATAGCTTGTGAGAGACTGGTTTGAGATAATCTTTCAGTTGGGAAAAATAATGGAAAGGATTTAGCATATTGTGATCGTCGGCAGAAGAAGCTGAAAAGGCGCAGGAGTTCTGTGTAATTTAGGAGAGTGGGTAAAGTTTAGGCGGTATACAATGTAATTTAGGAGTGTGGGTGAAATGGTGTGGGCAAAAGGACTTCTTTACTTTTCTTCTTTTTATTATTTAACTAGACCTCATCCTGTTGTGCTTTGAGGTTATGAAAATGTTGCAATTAACTCAAGTAAGTATAACTAAAATATAGATACTACTTTTGACATATTATTTGTATTACAAAATTGCACACAACTTAATAAAGATAGACATTTAACTGCGTACGTCTTAATTATAAGAATTTTAGTATTATATATATATATTATTATAAAAGCATGAATACAATATCGGTTTACAAAAATAACCTTATAATATTAAATATAATAACTCATAATAAAAGGACATAACCGAAATTCTAGATATTAGCCTTATAATGCTATTAGTTGTAGGACATAATACTACATGTTAATATTTAGGACTTTAAAATTAACTAATTTTTGGTTATTAAATATTTCCTTATTGAACTAGGTAAGAATTCATAAATAAAAACATTAAATTTAACCCTGTATTGGAAGAACTTAAAGAGAGAATGGTCTAAATACGTATGGAAAGCTTTGAAAAAATTTGGATTTAAAAAAATCGAAAGATTATAAATTCAAGAGTCCACTTTGACTCAACGTTTTAAAATCTAATAATAGTATATATATTTTACCTTCTTTATTCATATTAGAAATTGAAGAAATGTTTTTTTTACTTTGAACAAAATACAGTTCCTTCATAAAAGTTGTAATTGCATTTTATGTCAATTTTAATTAAAATTAGTTTTAAGATTATTTTATTTTATTTGTTGTTTGATCTTCATGATTTTTTCTATCTTTAATTATTTAAATAGAATCAACATTTAACACTTACAAAAACATTTATTTACTCTTCGTATCATAAATCAAACACGTTGTTTAATATAAAATTTACGTGAATTTTCAACATTGAATAGTTATTGATGGGTACATACACAATGCACATACCGAGATTAATCTATCCTTACTTATTTTTATTTTCATGTATTTTGAAATATAGTAAGTAAATAAAACATTCTTAAAAATTACATCGTGACTCAAAGCTAATGTCATGTCCGAATTATAAGTAACATAATATGTCGGTTTACAAAAATAACCATATAATATTAAGTATAATAACTCATATTAAAAGGACATAACCGAAATTCTAGATATTAGCCTCATAATCCTATCAGTTTTAGGACATAATACTACACGTTAGGAATTCTATTAGTATAACTACTTCCGGGTTGTCTAGTTCATATAAAATTGAACAAGTAAATGTCTTTAGTCATGTAATCCTATTACTTATACTTCTTAAAAATTTTTATTAATTATTTAATTTGAAAACGTATTATAATGTCCTATTACTAATTTAACTTGAGAATGTACTCCAAATCCATTTAGAAAATAGAGAGCCTATATTATTATAAAATCATAAATACAATATTAATATACCAAAGTAGCCCTAAAATATTAAACGAAAGAACTAATAGAGAAAGGATATAACTGCAATAACTTATTTTTTTGGACTACAATACCTTCTACGCTAATTTTTAATATTTAAAATTAATAAATTTTGGTCTACTAAATACTTACTTAAAATATGTAAGAAGGTTTAATAAAATTAATTTCATAAGAATCCTTCGTATTGGCAATACATTATCACTCAATAATGTCCAATACCAAAAAATATAACATTAATATTAAATGGATCGCATAAAGAGTCGAAATTGAGGGGCAAAAAATACTCCCACGGTAATATACTTTAATATTATATTTGAACTATTTTCCGACTCAAATAATATATTTTTTTATCATTTTTTGTGTAATATTAAAATATACCTAATTATTAAACAATAACTAAGAAAATATTTAAGAATATAAATGTGTGAGAAAGAAAAAAAATCATTGGTAGGAGTCAATACCACTAATGATTCTACAGATATAACAATCTAAAAGTGAAATATCATATCAATATTTTAATCTTTGAAAATAAAATTTATGATGGATAAAATTATAATTAATATTAAATATTCAAAACAAGAGATGAACTAATATTAAGATTTGATCAGCATAGAATAAATTATTTTTTATATTAAAACCAAATAATTAAATCTTTTAACTTTATTTAGCAAGAGAATCCAATTCAATTATTTTTTAAATTCATCATATGAGTAAAATTCTTATTCAAGTTGAAAAGAATCTTAGGGTACATAAATTTATTCCATAAAAAGAGCGTTAGAACACAAAGTAAAAATGTTAGTACATTATTAAGAATCAAAATGATATACAAGTGTCTGAAGAAGCACAATCAAAGCTAAATCCTAAAACGAACAAGCTTTCAAGACTATATTATAAAGAGTTGACTTTGCTATAACGGGACTATTCTTTGTAGATACCTCCGGCGGAATCGAAATAATATTTCTATATCATGCATTACTTGCAAATATCATATCAAGAGGCATGAAGCTATTAGCAAAAATAGCACGTGGTGTGCCACCAACTATTTTATTGTGAGACCACCCACTTTAGATTTGATATACCTCTTCAAACAACTTAAATAACCATCACAAATATATCAAAGCAGAGCAATGATGCTAAATTTATAAGGAAAACAAAATTGATAATATGGGATGAAACACTTATGGCTAAGTGTCAAACAATCGAAATAAATGCCCAGAGTTCTAGAAATATATTAGATATTAATGAACCATTTGATCATCATTTAGATGATTATTGTATTATTATACATAAAATTTCTCTAATTAAATAAATTTTACTGTTCCTTCATATAAATAAATATTTAAATTATCATGTGTCATTATTAACGTGCAACGCACGTTGATAGATACTAGTATGTATGTATGTATGTATATATATATATATATATATATNCTCGATGGATCACCTTAAGTCCAAATTCTGGACGGATCGAGTTCAAGCTCGATGAACTAGGCTCCAGCTCGATGACAGAGTACAAGGCTCGAAGAATTAAGTGTTCGAGGAACGTCGGGGCTCGACTATGACTAGACCTCGAGGTAATGTTGTTATGGATTTATAACAAAATGAGCAAGATTCATGCCACGTCCCCAAAATCATGGCGTAAATTCCGGAATAGATTTGTACGAATCCGTACTAGGCGGTTAGACAATTGTCCCAATAAGATTCTTTACTGTAAATGAAAATGTACCTTATTTAGGGTTCCCTTATTATATAAAGGGGACCCCAATCATTTATAAAGTGGATCTAATCATTAGCAAGAATATACTCTCTTACTTTTCTCGTTTAATGTTCATCAGAATTGTCTTTTAGCTTTATTATTCTTATTTTATTGTCCTTAATCCATCTCGAGGTCACTGAGCTCGAGGTCGATACTGCCTAGTAACACTGGTTTGATTCACTCATTTCTTTCATTTGTACTTTATACTTCTTGATTATTAATTAGTATTGAACTAAATCACATATCTTTACAACCACAAATCAAATTTAATTGTTACTCGTATTTTCGAGGTAAACAGTTTGGCGCCCACCGTGGGGTTAAAGATAATAGTGATTATTTCATTAATGATTCTTATAACACAGTATATTTTTACACTTTTTCTTGTCAAAATATTTTTGATTCTCAGGATTAAACATGTCAAACTCGTAAAACGCACATGTTCATGACAACGAAGGTCTTGGATTTTATGGGAAAAACAACAATATTGGGGTCGGTGTACCACCGATAAACCCTAGAGAAGTGCCAAATGTGGAACCAGTTGATATTAGTTCGCACATTGCTTTAAATGCAGATTTAGGCGCAGATCCCGGAGGAAGTGTACGCGGGGAAGCCCGATCTGAGGGCCAAGGAGCACAAGGTATAGGAGATGGGGGAGTCAGCCTCCAAGTGGTATTCGATATGCTGCAAGCTCAACAGATTACCATCGCTCAACTTCAGAGTCAGAATAAAACTCTGAGTATAGCGGAACCGGAAAGCACTCGATGTGCTGAACCGGCGCCAGAAAGGTCAAACGAAAATGGCTCGGGGACTGCCCCCATCATCATGGGGATACTCGAAGAGCTCACCAAGAGGATCGTGAGTCCAGGGAAAAGAAGATTGAGGACAATAACAAAAGGTGGAGACTTATAACTCCCGTGTTGATCAAATATCGGGGGCACCCCTGGCCTTGAAAGGTTTAGATGCCAAAAAGTTCATACAGAAACCATTCGCTCAAAGAGCGTCTCTGATACCCATTCCTAAAAAGTTTTGCATGCCCGATATACCCAAATATAACGGGACAACCGACCATAATGAACATATTACCTTATGTACTTGCGGGATTAAAGGAAACGACCTGAATGATGATGAGATCGAGTCAGTATTGTTTAAATAATTTGGAGAAACTTTGTCGAAAGGAGCCATAATTTGGTACCATAACTTGCCCCCGAACTTAGTACTAGTTCATTGAATATATGAGATAATATCTAATGGGTAGGGCATTGAACTTATTATTTTTAGAATAGTAAAATAATGTATAAAAAAGAAAAATGGAGATAGAGTAACACTAAGTATACTTTGAATTAACTTAAAAAATAAAGCAAAAATAATACTCGAAAATATTATTGATAATTTCAAATAATAAATATATTCGGAGCAATCGAATAAAAGTCTAAAAGAGATAAATTTTTTGGTACATACATTGAGATAAAATGATATTTAATTTATGATTTTGTTAAAATATATGATTTGAAGTACTCGAACAATTCAGATCGATCACACTTTCATATAATTAATATTCTTTAATAATGTACGAGCATCACGGCTACTAATACTACTATACTAGTGAAAGTTGCCCAAGTGTCTGTTAGTGGGAAGTCTATAACCAAATATTTGGATATTTATATCTGAAAAATATAATTATGTATGTGAATTTTTATTAAAGAATGGAGTGTTACTCTAGTTCATGATGATTCTTATTCGTGCACAAACAATATTAGAGTGTGACTCATGATATATATTGATATATTTACTATAAATGCTAGAT